GAACGTAAAAATCGACTTTATTGGCGGTCGAACCGATGCTGCAAACGGCGACGGCGATGCAATTTTGGCTCCGCGTGACTACTACAGCTCGTCTGTTATTGCCGTGCGTGACGGTATTAAGATTTTGGGTGTATCGCCCGAGGAGGCGGTAGCTCTCGCGGGTCGCCCGCGGAGTGTGGTGCTACAAAAGACATTGGGGTTTAGCGGTTCGTACAGCAACAATTCGACGATGTTGTCAAATGAGTATTTTACCGTGCTGCTGACCGAATCGTGGACGGCGGTCTCGGCGAAGGAATTCAAGGCTACTAACAAGGACATTTACATGCTTGATACGGACTTAGCGCTGCTGGAGGCACCGGAGCTGAAGATATGGGTGGAAAAGTTTGCCAAGGATGAGATGGCTTTCAAAAAAGTCTTATCGAGTGCCTGGCACAAGGTCATGACGGCTGACCACTTCAGAGCTGATAGCTACTAAACAGCTGCTTTCATTTAGACTCATTTTGCATTCCATCTATTCTAAACGTCAAGTATTCTGTATATCTGTATGAAATTTAATCTTAACAAAACTTACTCTTTGACATATAGGCGAAGAAATTTCTTCTTGTGGGTGATCTCGGTCCTCTTTATCATATGCGGAATAGATCGGCTGCTGATTGTGTCGATGAAACAGTCAAATATGGATCTGATAATTTGTATGTTGATGAAAAGGAGCAAAAAACCGCTATTGATTTGCTGAAACATCGTGGCGGATTTTTTTTTACCAATATTTGGAACAATATCTCTAATGATATGATGCACCCATAAAGAAGCAATTGTTCAAAAACGCTCCTTTGTATTGCTACCCTATAATGATATCCTTCTATTCTGCTTACACAATATAAAATCATCCGCTTTCTGCATTTACAATAGCTTAGAAACCGCACCCACAGTAATATATCAGATGTACCTTCAATATGTTCGGTGCGTACCCCACGCACCGCTAATACTATTGATCAAACCTCGGCGCCCCTCAAAAGTTTTTGAGTCACTTGTTCTCTAGATCTTAATCAGTGTATGTTCGTTATGTTCGTTATGTCGACCACAGTTCAACAATTAATGCCTTGAGCCATATTTTCGGATAACGTGGTAACGAACGTCGACGTGCTTAGCTCTGCATTGCTTGGAACTCCGAAAGTACCTTGATCTACTGCTTAGACCAACTTAGCTCCCGTTTGTTCATGACTGAGAACCACGGACCTAGGACTTTAAGCACAAAATCCTTCACTACCTTCACCAAGCTCGGTGCCGCCTATAGACTCGAGACTATTGTCAATCGTAGCCATCGCTCTGAACACTAAGCGCCACCCATCTATGTTGCGTTTCCAATCCGCATTTGCGTATGTTATGACCTGCATTTCTCTACAGCTTTCGTCAAGCTTGTTTTCGTAGGTTCAGAAGTGCACGGATCGCAGCTTTTCAATATTGTTTTTCAAGAACCTCGACAATCGCATTAGTATAAGGACAAGTACAGACTGCAAACAGCACAGCTTGATTTGTTTTTGCCACTGGCCTTTGTCGACACTTACATTTGAATAGCTATCTCAGCACTTTCCATCAAAATTACTTGTAATGTTGCGAATTTTGCTCCGCATGATCAATGAAATGGAGTCCGTCGAATTGTAAGCACGCCACATATTCTTCGTTCGAAACATAAAAGGTTCTTTATCATTATGTACGAGTTCCTCATCGTTACCGCCGTGGAAGCAGTGGTCATCATAATGGAAACGGACCGTTCACTTTGTCGGCAATGCTTGTATATTTCTTATATACGCGCGAAAGAAAAAAATTAGAGGCCAGTCTGAATCTATTGTTGCTTTAGACCAAAATTCCCTATTTTGAAAAAAGCATCATGTTCCTGGCTGGCATATCTTGTCGTGTTCAGAATTCATCTGCATCCAAAACGTCGAAGTGTTACTCTAAAACTGTGTCTGGAACTGTTTTCTGCAGAGGTGCTACTTCGAACCTGCTTGCCACTTGACTCACAATTGTGAGAACGACACTTTTTGCGCTGCCTTTATCTCCACGCCGAATCTAGGATGCTCGACGCCTTGTTCAGTAGTGCGTCCTTAATCTTGGTGCCACCCTGCTTTTTAGCCTTGGTATCGTACGCGAATATCCCACGGTGTGGAGATTACAAGGTCTTACCGACGCCACACTGCTCAAGCTGCATCGAGCGTACAGCTTGGATCTAGGAATACACCTAGTTCAATGCACGATATCCTTTGGTGTTTTTGTGATTTCTGAAATATGTGTGCGTGACCGTGTGACTCGAACACAAATTGACGTTCAAACTCAGGCTTTTATATTGAGGCCAGCTAGATGGTTGACAATATTCACAGCCGTTCGGCCTCCCTTTTGCATATCAAACGAAGCCGGCGCTTTAAATGTGCATTATACTTCATGATTTTTTCATCAATGCTTCATATATCTGTTCAACCTAACGGTTTTTAGAGAGAGCTGATATGAGATAACATTCTGGCACATACACGAGATAACATACTGGCACATACACGAGCAACGTTGGATTCACAAACTCCGCTTCGATGTCAGACCACAAACTATAGCGACTTCTTTGTTTATTTACGCTGTTATAGCCTACTAAATTCATGGGTCACTCGCTATTGAGCGTCGTGAATACACCACCACACACCGTGAAATTTTTCGCAAATTCTAAGTTACACTGTGAACAACCCTCCAAGATCATTTTGTCGTGTATGCTCGAATCGCCATGCGAATGACACTTACGTGGAGCATGGTGATGGCTAAGATTTGGGTGCTATGCCATATGCACATATACAAAAAAATGTTTCTGGACTTATCGATTAAGGAGTGACAATTAAGCATCATTTCGAGATTACTACAGCAATCATGGGACGAAATATTCTCCGAAAACGAACTCTTGCATGTCAAAATCCATCACCCGTATATATTGAAGATTGGATGGTCTGTTGATAGCGACGCATGATGATATACAGACTCCTTGGCACATGAACTGCTTGCTTTAGATTAGGCTGATTTTAAACGAAAGTGTGAAACAAACACAGATAATAAAGCACAAGGTGCTTACCTAAGATATCAAGGACCTGGCCTTGCGTCTATCCTTTAGCACGGTACGCATTTACATTATTTGTACTAGCGGCCATATATTTTTTTTGATAGAAAAACAGCCGCTATCTGGTTCATACATTTTCATATTACTAAAGCGCTTCCATTTTAAACCTTGACATGATACGTCGTCAATTTTGCTTTTCAATCGATTGCATATAGATAACCACAAAGATCTGAAATTGATTTTATGGCTTTTCGATAAATCCAAATCGTTCTGACATGTTTGATAAAGTTTTTCAGATAGTCTGAGTTTATTCATCTTGCATGTTCAGTTCCAGGGTATTTGTGGTCAGTATTTGTATGGTAAGTACTTCAAATTTGTAATGAATTTTGATTGGGTGCTTACCTTTGTAATGAGGTAAATAGTGTACACATGTTGTGTTCATGCAAATGAATACAACTGCCAACAGTTTAATGTTTTTGTGGATTTTCATTAGTACAGATGTATCGGTATCTATCAAGATGTTTCCGTAAAGGAGAGGTCTATAGTATATGAGGGCTGCTAAACTAAGTAAATCGCATATGAAAAATAATCGCACCCCGATCTTAAATCTATGTCATTGGTCTTTAGCACATTAAACAGATTTTACAAAAATTCTGTTAAAAGTGCGGCTATCTGACACAATGGCGACCACAAGCCACGTGGGCGGCAAATAACGTATTTTCTGTATTCTTACTGAGTGCAGTATCGCTGAAATCTTCAATCTGGGTTATTTCTCGTTGACTACAATGCCAGTCTCATTAAACTTGCAGCGGGGATACCGTTACTCTTTGCTAAGAGAAAGTTAAGCTTATGCCACCGACCTGACGTTCTTAACAAGACCCAGTACGAGTTAAGCGGATCGCAATCCGCTATCTCCAAGAGTACGTAAAACCTTAACCAAGATTAAGACGCTCTTCTGTTCAAAATCGAGACTGTTATTATTTTTTCATTTGCGGTAGAGCCGCCTATATTTTATTTTTCAGGTTTTCCTAAATGAAAAGTAAATCTTATTAATATGCATTACTATTAGTAGCCCTGCTACGTAGTGGTTTCTTGTTACGGTAGTGCCACACCAATGTTTAATTACACAGCTTGTGTAATCCACACCTATGTACTGTCACACCATCTTGTGTGACCCGTTACACTTTCAACAATCGAAATGGTGTATATCCACAATTCACATGTGACTGTCGCCTCATACGAGGCTCGCGTGTCTGAGACACCGTTACGTTTTTAAGTAAATATTTGAACAATGTTGCTCAACAAGCGCAAGGCTTTGACACGAAATACACCCAGCCTAGCTGGATCCATGGGCGCTCGCGGTCTAAGCCCTTCTTCTTCTGCACGGGGTGCATCTCCGGGCAGTATGTCCACGGCAACACTGGAAGCGCATCCAAAGCCCTCGGCAACCGAGCCAAACGGCGGATTCCCTCGTCGAGGTGCGCCAACGGCGCGACGTGACCTACCTCGAACCTTGCGGAAACCGTGTCCGTTCCTCGACCTCTCGCCATCCAGGGGTCGTGGTATAGTTACCAATTGCCTCGACAAGGCACAGGAGCAGCAGTTGGAGGCTGTCCACAGGGCGGCCCTCGTGCGCGTTCTGTCCTAAATTCTCGTGTGAAGTTCGGCTCTCGCTCGGGCGGGTCGCGCTACTGAAGCAAAAGACGCGATCACTAGATCATTAGGCGTCTACATTGTCAGGCCCCCAGCCACTATACAAGCTGAGATTGACCAGCAGAAAGCTCTCCGAGCTCGCTTCTTGGTACCCCAGCAAATCCCATTGGATCGGCACAGCGTTCGACTTTGAGCTCAAAGGGGAGACGCTCCTGAACCTGCAATGCGGACAGTGCTCGCCCCTGACGAAACCGCCGGAGATGATGAGATTCTTTTGAGTGATTAATGCAGCGGCACCAAAAATCTCTCGCTGTTCTCGTTACAGTGGAGCCACAAGGAGTTTGACGTGCGCGTGGAATGCCAGCTTCTATTTGAGTTTGCCAAACTCAAGGTGCAACACTGACTTTTTGCGTGTTGTCGCCCTGCGACGCATAGAATAATCCATAACGCTCGCATGAGCTGTGTGTTTTTTAACATGGGTGAGTCTACGACCACAGCAGCTTAGAAGCATATCTTGAGCTCCGCTCACGGAACGTCGGCTTCTAGGATTACCGCTGAGAAACGCGGGGCGCGCGACGATGCGAAGCAATAAGAACCTTATGATCGAAAGCGTCCATGACGTCTGGACAGTCTAGTCGCAGTGACACCTCAAACTCTCGCAAGTTCTCAAAGATTGCGTGTCCCCGCCACTTTCTAATATATTGAATTTAAACCTGTCGACCCACACGGTG